AAAAAAAAAAAAAGAAGAAGAAGAAGAAAGCAGGCTGACAGGTCCGAGACTTGAACTGCGGTTGGCCATGTGGGAATCCAGTGCCCTTAACCATTACGCCACCTGCTGGCCCCTCATCTAGTCTTAATTGGATGTCAGAATAGAGGTAATCTAGTCTAACTTCCTCAATTTACAGATGAAACTTCACTGATGACCAGAGAGGGAAAGGGACCTGCCTTAGTGTTCATAGCAAAGATTTTCACTTCCAAATGAGCTCTACCATTTATGACCACTGTTGAGTTATGGGAATATAAATCACTAAATCTAATATCTTCATTTACAGAAGGAAACATAGACACAGACAGGGATAGATACCTTCCCAAGGTCATGTGGAACTCCTAAATATTAATTCAGGTTTATTTTCCTTATACAAGGTGACCTCCCCTTGACTAACCACTGGATACTAAGCCAAATCCTACTCACTTTTAAAGTCCTATTACCTAGCATTTTGCCTGGCACACAGATGAATGAATGCACAAGTGAATCTTAAGACACTGTAAAATGTTCACTTTGTAATGAAATAATTTAAATTCTCAAACAGTCTTCCAGTTGATAAGTAATCTGGCAACAATGTCAAAGAAGGTCTTTCTTTTTAGGACAAATAAATCTCTCACTGGCTATCTTATACTGGCTTTAAAGCTCAGACTAATTTGTTTTTACGAGCTATGTGATCTTGCACACACAATCATTTTATATCTCAGTTTCTTCATCTGTAAAATGAAATCCTAATGCAATTGATCTCATGGGCCTGACAGAAGGATTTAGTGAAAAAACACATGTAACTTGGCACACAGTTGCTACTTGATAACTAATAAGTTACGCTTTTTATATAATGGTCTACCTAATAAATGTTGAACATTAGCAGTGAAATATTTTCCTGTTGCTAATGGTAAAGTAAAAATATGACCATTAGGAAAGACAGTTAAAGGCCAAAGAACCTTCAGGAAGAAATCCTCTTGGGGATTGATGTCAAAAATATCTAGCACATCCAAATGTCAATAAAACTCCTCCCTTGTTTAAAGTAAAAGCATACCAAGATTTAGTTGCACTAGTTACCCCCCCCCCCAATAAAAAATTAGTATCTGTTCCGATGAGCATCAACCGCACTTTAAAAAGAACAGGAGTTCGTGGTAACAACAAAATAGTAGGTTACTCTGGAAAACAAATGTGCTTAGATCATTCTGGCTCCTCTCCCTTTGACAGGAGGTGAACATGTTTGTGGCTACAGGAATTTGTTTTCCATAGATATCATACAGATTTATGTCCTCAAGGGTCCTCAGTTAAATGTTTTCTGTCATACATAATAGTGCTAATGTGCTGAGAACCAGAAAGAGGTGTCTTATTATTATTTATTTTTAGACATTTTCACTTTAGGGTGTGTGCACTCACCAGAGAGAGAGAGACACACAGCGACAGTGAGAGGCAAAGTGAGAAATCACCCCCACCAGGGGGGATGGCCATGCCACAATCCCTTCTTCTCCATTCTCCTCCTGGGGTCTTGGGCACACATGCACATGAGCCCAGTGTAATTTTCAAGCCACCGGATCCAGGAACTGATCCGCAGTCAGCCATATGGGAATCCAATAACATAACTGCTAATGTCACCTGCTGGCCAAGGTCTTATTTAAAAAACAAAAACAAAAACAAAAAATTATACTTACCTGGAGATGGATTTCTTGACTCTTCCTGCATCATTCTAGATAGTTAGAGAAATAACCTGACCAAGATCAGCACCCCAACTGTCACCCTAGGGTTTGGACCCTGCAAAGATTCAGGATAATTAACAAACGTGGTCTGGCTAAAGACCACCCAGAAGGCTTAACATAAAGTGGGAAAAAAAATGTAGCAGTCTGAAACTCTATCATCATCTCTTAAGAGGACAGCTATTGAAAACTGATTTTCTTAGTCTCAAATCTAACCTGTTAATATGATTAACTTGTAACCAGAGGTCTCCCATCATGTAGACCATGACAGTCATGACACAAGCATGCTGCGTTCCATATTATGTTTATTCTTAGGACTAACCCTCCACTTTCCACTGTAACTATGACTTCTTAAATACATAAGTCACTCTGAGTGCTGCTTGCAAAGCCTGTACTAACATTTAACTAAGTTCTTGCACGATCTTACCAGAAAACAGAAACACAAGAATAGCAGGGAAGTTTGACTGATTACAGGTTAAAATAGCTGTCTTGGAACTTTTTTACAATGTTTATTTATTCTTTTTTGAAGAATTATTTATTTTATGATTATTATTATTTAATTTTGCTGTAGGGCATGTGCACTCGCCTGAGAGAGGCAGAGAGAGAGAGGGTAAATGAGATAGCAAGCCATCAGGTCCGGGACTCAAACTGTGGATGGGAATGTGGGAGTCCAGTGCCTTTACCACAATGCCTCTTGCTGGCCCCTACAATAGTTTTTCTTTTAATTCCAAGTTTCTCCTCTACCTACTCCTCACAACACTTTTCCCAAAATAAGACCAAAGGAAAACATTTGGGTGACATACAAAAAGACAATATTGATTTGACTCAAGCTTTCCTATAGAAAGTTAAACAAAAACAGTCCCAAATGAAAGACATTACCAAACATGTTACCATTATTTCACATATCCCTTCAGTGCCCAGATGGAGAAAAAACTTATCTGAATGAAAGAATAAGAATGAACCATCCTTATGGTGGGTTTACTTAGATATGGGAGGGGAATCCATATAGTTAGACATAAGGCAGTAAATGAACTACTCATTTCCTACAGGTGGTGAGAGCCCCACCAATGTAGTGAACCCTCCAAGAGTATCCAAAGCCTGGGAGTCACTGTAAGATCACCTTGAGTATTCCCGAAATAGACTGCCCTATTTCCCCTCAGCTATTTTACTGCTAAAAGAGAAGGAATGGAAACAAAATACACTGCCCCACCCCCAGGCTGCACCAAAGTCAGCATCACTCGTTCCTTGGGAATTTCAAACCGTCCATCTAATTGCCACCAAAATAGGGAAATAGAAAAAAAAAAATGACCTTGGGTGAAGCAACTGAGTGTTTTGCTTCCTGGAATTATAAAAGACCTGACTGGGAAATCATTTCATTCCTACACAGGAAAACTAAATATTCTTTCTAGAGAACAGTAGAACAAAGTGGAATATCCACCATGCCTGTCTCTTGGCCTCATTTTGACCTCAAAAATAAAAAGTGCATGAAGGAAAAGGGCCACGAGTCCCGATTTCCTCAGAGAAGCCAGGGCACAGTACTCCTCCACTGCCAAGAAAAGAGGCTGCCGCGCTTGCCCAGACCTGTGGAGAGCAAGTATCTCTTAATGCCCCTCCCCTAAAAACAGGAATTGCAAGTAGCAATATCGTATTAAGGAGAGTTGGTAATGTTTGGAGAACTTGTGATACGAAGTTCTCCAGTTCCTACCAGTACTCTAAGTCTGTATGTGTAAGGAGAGAAAAGGGGGGCCTCTTATTTTCATACATTTTTAAATGTAGAGGGACTATATATGGGTATGTTACAGGGATGGCCGAGAACAGAACCCTAACATATACAAAAACAAACAAACAAAAAAGAGTATAAACATTGGAGCCTGGGATGGATGGCACTCAATATAAGGCACAAAACCTACTTAATTAACCATTTGTGGCAGGGAAAAGTAGAATCCCAGGGCCCATCTTGTAAAGAGAGAAAAAGATTCAATGATTTTTTTTTCCTCAAGAAAACAGCTCAGTTCTAAGTGAATATAATACCGCATCTGTTTAGAAAATGTGTAGAGAAACATCAAATGCTGAAAATCCTCATACAATTGCAGTCGCGCAGAAGTTATAAAATGTGCAAGAATTAGCCATTGTTTTTCAGTTACCTGAGCTGCAAATCACCCCCTGTTCTTCTAGGTGTTCTAAACTGGTTTGTATTCTAGTTTCCAATGACAGGTAAAAGGTTACGAGGAAGGAAATGAGAGAGAATGCCAAAGGCCAGGGAGCTGGGGAGCTCAAAGGTCTGAGTGCCAGCTGGAGAGAAAGTGGTAAGAACTGAGGAGTCCCTTCGAAAGGGTCTATGTCCCACTCCTGGGGGCACAGCACAAGCCAGAAACATTGTAAATACTTGACTTGACCCACAGGGGTGAAGAAAAACCATCATTAGAGTCTCCACGGTTCAAACTCTGAAGACCCCATAGTCACTCTGCCTTCACTGCCCTTAAAAGCCCACAACAACTTTGAAAGGTTTTGGTAAGGAAGCTTCCTCTGCTTTTCCTGTAGCTGTCATCTTCCTATCCTAACACTGATTTCTGGGGTTGTCTAAGCAGAGCAAATTGTCATAGAGGGGATGATTCCAGACTGTTAAGAGTTTTAATGGCCCCAAACGTTACTCAATGGACTCCCAAATAATAGAAACTAGATTTTATCAATTTTGTTGGTTAGCTGTTCTCTGTGACTCAAGTTCAGCATTAGCATTTGCACCCAAAATGAGAATTTGGTGGTGCTGTTTGACACAAAGAATACAAAGCAAGCATAGATCCCTCAGGAAATTATCACAACTCCTGATAGATTAATATCTAGTGTCATCATAGCTTTTGCTTTGTCCCCTACATTGAAGCCTTCACAAACGATGCCTGCTTTTATGATTCAATGAGAATGACTCCACACTTCTTCTCCAAAGGGCACCATTATTTTTAGTTTTCCTGTGCGTGACTCAACATAAAAACCTGTGGCTCTTACGAGCTGCCTGTTTTGAATGGTCCAGTAGTTTCAGTTTCTGTTTAATAAGTCTCCAGATAACAAATGGAGAATAGGATGAATCTTCACAAGGTCACATTGAAGGTTAAAAATAAATTATCCCCATCACTGAGGGGCTTTCTTCAGGTTTTCAATCAGCACTACAGAGTCAGTTTCTTCTTTGGATTGCTTCTCATAAATGTCATACTTCTTCCAGTGCTGGAAAGGAGGAAAAGAAAAACACATACATCATGACTTTTCTCAACAATGTTCTTTCCCTCAGTTCTCACAGCCAATGCTTATTTTTAGGTTCCACTACGTGGAACCATGAGTGTGTACTTTCTTGGTTTTTATTTTTGTTTTTTGATCTAAGAATCTTCATTTATTTAAACCGTTAATGAAACAAAGCCATAAGGAATTAACATGGAAACCAGCAGATCGCATAATGGTTATATTGCTGAACTCCCTCATGGCCAACTGTGGTTCAAGTCCCAGACCTGGTGGCTTAAAACTCATGCTGGGTGCGTGTATATGTGTGCCCAAAAACTGAGAAGAGATTGGAGAAGAAGGGATTGCTGTGTGGCCATCCTCCCTGCGGGGGTGATTTCTTGCTTTCTGTCTATCTGTCTCAGTCTGTCTCTTCAGTGAACGCATGTGCCCTATAGCAAAAATCTCTCTAAAAAGAAAGGAGAAAAAAAAGGAATTAACATGAAAATGTGCGTGTATGTGGGGGCATGAAGCATAGGATTTTTACTTGATGTTTAATGGCTCGTTCAAGAGATAAACAAATTTGGATATTTCCAGAATGGGAAGCAAAGTCTTTTCAAGAGGAATAAAGGGTGGCATTCTTTTCTTTCTTTCTTTTTTTTTTTTTAGAGAGATTTTTGCTATAGGGTGTGTGGGCTCACTGGAGAGACAGCGAGGGCGAGAGAGAGAAATCATCCCCAGGGGGATGGCCATGCTGCAATCCTTTCTCTTCCATTTTCCTCTTGGGATTTTGGGCATGCACACAAATGCACCCAGGATGTTTCAAGTCACCGGGTCTGAGACTTGAACCAAGGTTGGCCAAGTGAGAGTCTAGTACCTTAACCATTATGCCACCTGTTGGCCCAAAGTGGCATTCTTTTCTTACTTCAACTGTTTCACTTGGACCTTTATTGCCTTTATTTTTCTACCAAATTTGACCATTGTTCTAGAAATGTAAGAGTGTCAAAAAGTCAACTAGCAGCTAAGCGAATAGCAATATATAGGATGTTCCAAAAGTTTTACTGCAGTCAAAATTTTTGAAAGACTCTGTCTGAGGGGCTTCAAAGTGTTCATGGAAAAGCAGAATTAAAGTATAGGCTTATTTTGATGCAAAAGAATTTTGAAATCCATGCTGTTTTTTCACAATACACATTTTCTATGAACTTGAAGACTCTTCACATTAAAAGCTTCATTGAATATCACTTGCTAGAGCAGGGAAGTACACATGAAGCAAGCTCCTCTTGAACCCAATACAAGAATGTCTCTGCTGATGAAAGCCAATATCCTGATCCTTGCTTTCTTTACTTGTAAATCAGGGGAAAGGGTGAAAACCTGAGGACAGTCCTCTCATCTGTAAAATAAAGTTGTTACACTAAACCAGGGATCAGCAAATTATGGGCTACTGGCCAAATATGGCTTGGTGCCTGTTTCTGTGAATATAGTCTTTTTGGAACACACCTATTTGTTTCTGCATTGTCAATATCTGTACTCGTGGTAAAACAGCAGAGTGTAGTCGTGATAGAAACTGAATGGCTTGCAGAGCCAAACATATTTACTATCTGTCCCTTTGCAGAAAAAGTTCGCCAACTCCAGGACCAGCAGTTGGCGCAATAGCTGTCACTAGAGTCCAATGTAGTCGACCACAGTTCGAGTCCCGAACTGTGGCTTAAATTCATGCCAGGGATGTGCGCATGCATGCCCAAGATCCTGAGAGGAGAATGGAGGAGAAGGGATTGCAGCATGGCCATCCCCCCTAGAGGGTGATTTCTCGCTTTCTGTCTCTCTGTTTCTCCCCTCTGTCTCTGTCTTTCTAGTGAGCGCATGCGCCCTATAGCAAAAACCTCTCAAAAAACAAAAAAAAAGAAGTTTGCCAGCCCCTGCACTAGATTATTTCTTTTTTTTTTTCTTTTGAGAGGTTTTTGCTATAGGGTGTGTGCACTCACCAGACAGATAGAGAGAGACAGAGAGACAGAAAGCGAGAAATCACCCCCTAGGGAGGATGGCCACGCCGCAATCCCTTCTCCTCCCTTCTCCTCTCGGGATCTTGGGCACGCACGCACATGCGCCCAGCATGAGTTTAAGCCACCGGGTCTGAGACTCAAACCGTGGTCGACTACGTGGGAGTCCAGCAACGTAGCCATTACGCTAACTGCTGGTCCCTGCACTAGATTATTTCTAAGCTCCTTTTCTGCTCTGATGTTCTATGCTTCTATTGGGTCATCAGAAAAGTCATGAAGTTTTTTCTATGCAAAAATGAGTCGAGCCTTTTCCAATGACCCAATATATGTTTAGGAGAGAAACAAAAGCATTTAGCTGCCCCAAGTTGGAGACATGAGTAGGAAAACACTGCTTAAAATACGTAAATTACCCTAAATAAATTATTCAACCCCAACACACATAGTAGAATGACTAAAATTTAAAATATTGACAATTCCAAGAACTGATGAGGATGCAGAGTAACTACTGGGTTGTTGAAAAAGTCATGATGCAGTTTTACATAGAAAAAGAGAGAAAAATGTCATGACTTTTTCAACAACCCTATAGAATCTCTCGCATATTGTTAATGGAAATGTAAAATGATACAGTTATGATGGAAAGCACTCCAAAAGTTTCTTGTACAACAAAATATATACTTACTATCTGACCTGGAGATCCCACTCTCAAGTATTTACCCAAGAGAAATGAAAACACACCTACACAAAGATGCTACACAAATGTTTACAGCAGCTTTACTAATGACAGCCCCAAGTTGGACACAACCCTGATGTCCCTGAACAAGTGAGTGGTTAAACAAACTGTAGAAAGCCATATCACAGAATATAGCTCTGCAATAAAAAGAAATGAACTACTGACATACACAACAGCATGGATGATTTGTAAATGCATTTTATCAAATGAAACAAGCCAGATTCAAATAGCTATGTAACTGCATCTGGCCAGTCAGTGGTGTGGTAGTTAAGGTGGCTAGATCCCACATGGCTGACTGCGTGGTTCAAGTCCCAGACTCGGTGGCTTGAAAAACATGCAAGGTGTGTATGTATGCATGTCCAAAATCCTGAAAGGAGGAAAAAAGAAGGAATTGCTACATGGCCATCTCCGCAAGTGGTGCTTTCTCAGTCCATGCCTCCTCCCCTTCTCTCTGTCTCTCTCTGTTGCACACGTATGTCCTATAAAAAATTTTTAAAAAATAAAGCTGTGCACTCTATGATTTCATTTTTATGACATTCTGGAAAAGGCGAAACTTTAGGGTTAGAAAACAGACCAGAGATCATAGGGAGCTGACCGCAAAGGGACATGAGGGAACTGTGGAGGGATGATGGAAGGAAACATATTCTATATCCTGACTGGAGTAATGGCTACAAAATTGCACACGATTGCCAAAACTCTTCTAATTGAACACTTAAGAAAATTTTTTACTGTAATCCCACTTCAACAAACTTGATTTTTTAAAATGGGAGATGTACAAAATTCTAATAAAAACAGTCTGAAAAAAATATATGAACTTGAAATAAAAGTTTATTCAGTAAATGGCACTAAGACAACTGGCTAAGCGTTTGAAAAAGAAATTGAACCCCGCTTCAAAGTCTACATGAATAAACTCCTGATAGATGAAGAATCTAAATGTAAAAAACAAAATCAAATAAGTATTAGAAAAATACACAGGAGAAAATTATATAAATCTAAGGTGAAAAGGGTTTTCTACATAAAATAGTAAAATTTGACGGCATGGAAAAGAAAAAACCCTTTGTACATTATTAACCACCCTGAATACAATATAAACATGGATGATAAACCAAGGGATTAATATCTGATATACAAGGTGCTTTATGGACTACTATGGAAAAGATGAATACCAAAAGAAAGAAAGAAAGAAAGGATGAATACCACAAGGAAAAGATGGACAAAGAAAAAGAATTTCACAAAAAAAGTAATTCAAGCCAATGAACTTATGAAAAAATATGAAAACCTCTCATATAAAATTTTTTTTATTATTATCATCATAATCTTCTTTATATTACATTGGATTACATAAACTTTACAGTGTATTACATTGTTTTTTCAAAAGGGAATGCCATGCATGTCAGTCAGTACAGAGACATTAATCTCCCCACTTCAACATTCCATATCTTTTCTGTTTTCCCCAATCATTATTTTTATTATTCTAATTATTTTTATAAAACAGTCAATTGCTATTTCTCGTTTTGCTTGTAAAAATACTTTGCCCATCATGAAATACTTCGCAGACCAATCCAGTTGAGAATACTATACATGTCATCATCAACAGTTAATAACCCCTATCTGTTTCTCACTAACGTCCTGTCTCTCTATTGTTCACTTGCTATCTTTCTCTAGCCTCTTCTCTTCACTTACCCCAAAACCTCTCATATAAAATTAAGATGCCCTTTTCTCAACTATAAATTTGGCACTTATTTTTAAGTTAGATCACACTAGCAGAAGTGTGGCCAAGAAACTGTTCACACATACTACTAGGAGGCATAAAAACGGCCACAGCCTAGTTGTTATCTATGCTTCTCATGAAAGTTTATGCATTCTTCAAAAAGAAATTAATCAAGGGAAACAGCAGTTAGCGTAATGGCTATGTCGCTGGACTCCCACGTAGTCGACCACGGTTCGCGTCCTGGACCCGGTGGCTTAAAACTCACGCCGGGCGCGTGTGCATGCGTGCCCAAGATCCCAAGAGGAGAATGGAGGAGAAGGGATTGCGGTGTGACCATCCCTTCTGGGGGGTGATTTCTCGCTTTCTGTCTCTATGTCTCTCTCTGTCTGGCGAGCGCACGCGCCCAATAGCGAAAAAAAAAAGAAATTAATACAGATACATACTTTCTTCTTTTTAAAATCTAGTTTATTTTTTAAAAAATTTTATTTGCTATAGGGTATATGCACTCACTGGAGAGAGACACTGACAGAGAAAAAACGATAAATCACCCACTGCGGGGATGGCCACTCTGGAA